GTGATGGCCTCGAACGAGAGCACACACACACACACACACTCTCTTTGCACATCACAGTCAAACACAGACATCCACTGCCCATCGCTGGCCTTGCCACCAGCTTGCTCCATGATGAAAGACATCGGCGCACCTTCGTACAGAAGTCGAAGCTTGCCGTCCTGCCACAAGATTTGGGCCAAAGATTTGAGGCAGGCTGCTGCCTTCTCCTCTAACCAACTTGCCGTGCTACTGGCCTGGTTCTTGTTATCGGCTGGATATGCGAAGATGCCGCCATAGAGCAGTGTGCGGTGAATATCGCCGACCTTGTGAGCTGAAGGTTTCCGGCGAAAGCGGACTACGAATGCAGCCCAAGAGCCATGGAGCCGATGTAGCGAAGGGAATAGGCTTTGCCAGATTCGCCTGCCCGAATGTCGCAGAACTGCGGTAGCAATGCAAAGTGACTTGCTATGAATCTCTCGAAGAATAAACTGAGCTTGAGTTTGCCAACCCTATCCATTAGCTACAGCTCGCAGACCGCGCTTCCTCCAAATGCATTCTGGGAACTCGCACTTTGCCGAGACTGTGGGGTTTTGAGAACGGCGTTTTACAAAAAATTCATGTGGTCTGGGTTTGGGCATCTTCCCCTCTGCGCAGCCGAATGGACGCCAAGCTGTTTGGCACAATGAGACAATGAGTTGTGCTGGATTTCTCACCCTTTGGAGTGGCAAGGAACCGTGCTTCGGTGCACTTCGGTGCACTTCAGAAAAGGTATCTGACTGTTTGCACAGTATATCGCGCTCTTCGGGATTCCCTGCGAACTGTGTTAACCGCGGTTCGTGCGCATCGAGCTTGAAGCCCGGGCTTGCCTGAGCACTGTGTTGTCAGCACTTCATGGATTCATAGCGGGAAGGACCACCCACGTTCAGACGTGGAGACTGGGGTGCTTCTTCTCGCGCCTTTCCCGTCACGGATGTCCGAGATGTACTGCCTCATTGGCTCGTCCCACTCCTCAGTACTAGAAGATGCTGGCAAGCCCTTGATGCATTCGTGCTTCTTTGCCGATTTTCTTCCAACCTACCTGTCGGCTGCTACATTGCAATCCTATACTTCATGCCTCCCAGACAAATCGTGTCTTGGCAGATGGGCTTAAAGGACTTGGTTGTTCCCTACTTCGTCCGGTGCGCTTGGCAAAATCGGTCACTCTCAGCAGGGCCGGACCAGCTAAGCATCTGCGATGTTAGCTTGGTTGCAGGAGTAGATCTTGCCCCTTGCCGGAATCTTGATCCTGAGTGAGCAGGCGGCTTGCCATATCTGAGAGATGTATCATGTCCGTCCCATCGTCGGTTAATTATCTGGAATCGAAAGCTTGCCCTATCTCAGAAAGGCATCGAAGGTCGAGTCATCACGAATTCGCCGATGCCTCACACAAGTTGCAGCACAGAGTTGGCTTTCGGTTCTGAGTAGCGCCCTCTCACTGTCCCCCACTTCTCCAAGCATCGCAGGTGCTTTAGGCGAAGCCGAGCAGCTGGTGTCCAAGGTGAAGCCGACCACGCCATGGCCAAAGGTGAGGACCAGCTCGGTGGAAGCGGAATACAGCACGTAGCCGGCAGCGACCAAGGACTGCATCAAGAGTCGCTGCCAAGGCTGGCAACTTTAAGTGACGTGAAGGTATGTCCAAAGCGAGTGAACCAGAGCTGGATTGGACGATGTGTGGTGTGACCCTGTCCTTTCCGGGCTGCAACGTGCCTGCGAGACACCTCGGGGCAATGACAAGGGGACATTGCGCGCGGTTGACGGAGTTTGCCATGCTGCAGCAAGCTCCATGGACCAGTGCCAAAGCGCAGCCCGCCCCTCCCCCCCCACCACCACAGAACTCTGTCTTGCTGTGCCTCTGCTGCTCGTCCGTCAGGCCGGCCGACAGATCTTCGGGCAGCTCACATTCGGCCATATTCGGCTCCTGGTAGCTGCTTGAGGCGGATTCGTACTAGTAACTAGTCCATGCCACGCACCCAAGCCTCAAAGACTCCGAAGATGGTTCCAACAGGAATGCCTGCATCCACATTGCCTCGGTGGTGCAGGTCGACAGTAACGACGATGCTTGCATGCATTTCTGGGACCGAGCGGCTGCTGCCATCCAAGGGGTCAAAAACACAGATATACTTGCCAGTCTCGGCGAACTCCTGCACACTGTGCCACTGTGCACGTGCAGGGCATTGCCAATCAAAGCCATGGAACCCTTGAAGCTGCATGCTTCTCACTCTATCTAAGCGCCTCCGACAGCACGGGGATCAAATCGCTCTCGCTCTGTCCCGGCCTCGCTGGTGCACAGCAGAGACCATTCCAGTTGAATGCTGGGCAGATTCAATCGTTACGGAGCTCAGCCGCGTGCCAGCCCTCCACCGGTTCATCCTCTTCCTCTGATGCGAGTGTTCCCAGCTTTCCTTCACCGGCAGCCGAGCGAGAAACCGGTGCAAAACCATCCAGCCCATTCCACAGCTTACTCGCTGATCACGGAAAGCCAGCTTTCACGCCGGAAAATCACAAGCCAGATCCTACGTGAATGCCGAGTGACCCGTGTAGCGCAGTGCATTCTTGAACACATCGTTTGTAATGACCTTGTCCCCAGCACTCGAATTCGACGATGAAAAGCGATGCCTGCGCATCCCCTGCCTCAACAACCTACGTGGCGAATCTCAGGTCCTGACATCCAGCTTCTTCTGATCTTCACCCTGCACCTAGGCTCTCGGCAGCACCCTTAACAGCTGATCCTATCGACTCTAGATGCCCGAATCTCGAACTCATTGCACATAGCCCTTGGCTAGTCTTCACATATTTTTATTTGCCTAGCAGGGCTGTTTCTTGGACCCCAAGCGAGCTCAACTCTGTGAGGGAAATTCGGGCCATGTCGGTCTTGGTACCTGGCTATGTCTGCTACATTGATCGCTGACGCGTCGTCCATGTCTGTTGCTCTGTCATTTGTGCTGCACTTTTGTCATCTCTGCGTGTGGGGGCCTGCTTTGCCAGATCGCGCCACCGCATCGGATGTGCATACTAGCTGCTCGGGGGCCGTACACAATGCACCAGACTGGCAATTTAGCAGACTTTCCAGCCAGGGCTTGAAGAACAAGGGAGCCGAGGTTGTGCCAGGTTGCGTTGATCTCGCCCTGCAGCCCCAAGAGTTCGGCCTTGAGAGTCAGGAATGTCGCAGCTTCAGCAAGCGCATGTTCACAGCCACCGATTGGATTGACTGTAGCATACTGTAGCAGTGAGCAGAGGTAGGCTTGGGCACTTCCGATCGGCCTGCTGCAGCGGAGCCGTGTTGACCAGCTTCGAGATGACCTTCGAGGCCTGTTGTGCACAACACAGTGTACTGCACTGCTTCTGGCGCAACATGACACAACAGCGACATTGTTTCTGGACTGCGCTTCCTTATCTATCGCATCCTCCATACCTTTGTCTCGCAACAAAGGCGGTAAGGCCTCACGGATAGAGTTCATAATAGAGTCCAGGTCAGAATCGATGATTCCACGGTTGGCCAGCTCTATGCAGTAGCCTGGGCAGAGCTTGTGAAATCTTAATGCAGGTACTTTGTAACCATGGAAGCCTCTATTCTATGTCTTGAGAGGCCAGGACACGGCTTAGGGTGACCCCAGTCTGCTCGCAAACCTCATCCATGTCGTCCGGATTCACCCTGACAGCAGTCCTTGAAGGGACGCCGCTCACAACTTGGAGACTTGGCCATCAGAGCCTGCTTTCCATTGCAGTCGCAGTCAGGGAGTCCAGTCCTCTTCTTGGCCTGCTGGCGTCACGGCGAGAGCAGAGCTGCAACAGTAACAACAAGCTGAAGTGTTGCAACGCCAGGAGACCCGGAGCCTCCCTGCGGGAATTTCCGCGCGCAGCTGCGGCGCCGACGGCTGCGGCTCCCAGTGCGGCAGTGGCAGTGGCCAGGGGAACCCCGCCAGGCGCCTCGCTTGCAACTGCAGCACACATCAGCACGCAGGTCCCTGCAGTCTCCCTGCAGTATGCCCCCCATACAACCGGGACCAGGGACCGAGGTCGGCTTCACTGCAGTCTGCGGGCCTCAGTTCACCATCGATCACACATAATCTGCGAGAAGGGACACGCAAGCCCCAACCGCGCAGACATGCCAACGTGAAAGTTTCAGCTCGGCCACTCTGACCGTGCAACTGGGTGGGAACTGAAACCTTCAGCGGAGCAACAGTCTGCCACAGAAGCCGCTTATGTTTTTTTTGTAAACGGCCCGCTCACATGCCAGCAACTGATCGGGGCTCGTACACCGGGCGAGGCAGTGAAAGCCATGGTGCCTGCAAAGGAGCTGTCTGGGATCTTCCACCTCACTTACATTTAAAGTACATTTATTCACAAACTACACACCATACTACGTAACCCCGCTGAAGCGCCCTGATATGGCACATGTCACATGTCAATGTGGTTTGAGATCTCACCTGCCATCGCCGCTGCACCAGCAGCCGCCGTGGCTGCAATAGCCGTGCTTCCAGGACCTCAGACTCCGAAAATGTGAAGCTGTCTGCTTCTACAAACCAACAACTAGAGCAGGATCCTTTTCGCCGGCTTCTTCCGTGGTCGGGTGCTCACGAGTCGTCTGTCACCGGTGTGAGTGCTCCAGGTCGCCAGCTCCTTGTCCCTTCTCCGCATTGTCAGTAGGTTCCTTCCTGTTCACGGCCTGCTTCATTCTCAGGTCTTCTTGATGGTGCCTGTGTAGCCACCATTCCAGTTGTGGCCCAGGGCACTTGACCTCTTTGCCCTCAGTGTCGTCTGCCAGTTGGAGTTCCAGTCGTTGTAGTGGGCTCCGGCACCTTAAGAAAGAACTGAGCACACCTTTTTTGTGATCTCGTGGCCCATTCTGGCCCGCGCATGACCACGCTGGAATTCAACGCATGTCATGCTTTCGCAGATCGCCTCAGCAATCGCGGAGGAGCCAAGACCAGTCGGCAGCATGTTCCCTGCAAACGATCCCTCTCTACTCTTCTCAAAAATTGCTATCCTTCTGCAGGCTCTCTCGAGCGGGTTGCATTTGCCAAAAAGGCAGCTCGAATGATCGGGAAGATGCTCTGACCCAGAAAGTTCCAAGTGACAGAGATTGAATCATCAAGGCACTCGACTTCGTGAGGCCAGTGTGCTGGCACGAAAAGGGTATCTCCGGGGTTTAGAATGACCTGCAACGGTAGAGCAGACCTTTCTTGAAGGATCTGCTTCAGGGGCTTGAAGCCTCCATCTGGTTTCAAGAGGCTTGCCATCTCAAAGGGCGGGAAGAGGGTGAAGCGCTTGCGGCCACGGATTTGCGTCAGCCATGCATGCGTTTCAGACGGATCGACATGTAGAGGCGTTGTAGAACCCTCCCCGCCAATGAAGAGCCAATGGAAATCTGGATGATGCCGTTCTGGAAGCTTTCGGAAATGGTCCTGCGTGGGATATGGCTACAGCACAGCTTCGGAATCTAGATCCTAACCCAGCACACCGCACAGAGACTATGCATGCTTGTTGTATGCATACCGATACCGATTTCAGAAATTCAACATGTGACCTGACACCAAGCCCCTCGCTTTGCGCACGGGCACGATGTCTTGACCCGAGTCAACGCCGGGCCTGAAACGCTACATCATGGAAGTCACCATGCCGCCACAAGTCATCCGAAAGCCACGGCGCATCTCGTTCGTAGTACCATCCGCCTTGAGGCAGCTAGTGAAGCTTAGAGAACCCTTCCCGTGTAACCTGACATCAACAATACACGCAGCGACTTGCCATCCCAGGCACGTAAGTATGGCAGCGCAAAAGGCCTCCGGAATGTATCACGTCGTAACAACGCCAGGTAGTCTTTCAGCAGATTCCTACGCTTCCGGCCGCCCTGCAGAGCTACCTCCACCTCGATGTGCCCACAAGACTGGGCAAAGAAATCAAAGTCCCACTTGCGAAGAGCCGGCCAGTCCGCCGCGGTGTCCATGAGCAGTGCAGGCTGGAAGGTGCGAAGGTGATTGGTCTTAAACACTCTAGTAAAGATTCAGGGTCCGCATTACATTTGAGGCAGGGGATCTCCGTCAGACCGCTATGAGAAAAGATTTCTGCCGGAAGCTGCTGCTTCAATAGCACTGTCCGGTGCAAGCTTTCGACACCGACCAGACGTCCGCTGGCATAAGCATACAGAATCATCGCACCATCAAAGAGCGGAAGTGCCGTGACTGGTTCTTCTCCATCGGGTCTCGGGCTATCTGTCGTGCTTTCGGTAGCTGGCTGACTCACATCCGCCACTGAACCAAAGATCGCTCGAAAAAGCAGCACCACATCCTGCAGCATGCTGTTTAAGGGCTGTGAAACCTCCCAGCCGATGCCCCAGCCACGAGAAGCGGTGAATCCCATTGCTTTCTTGAGTCATCTCCGCAGTTGAGGTGGCGCCTACCAACGAGAGTTGCAAAGTCTACACAAAAAAAACACCTCCTGACTTGCCAGCTTCTATCTGCAACGACTTGATCACGGATAGCTGCGGATGCTGCAGGCAGGCCCTCGCTCCCATGCCTCCGACTTCAGAACCGATCTGTCCCAACCCTATACTGTCTGACATCTTAATGCCACGAGATTATGCCATGGCAAAGGAGCAAGCACGGTAAGCCTGCTGCTGCGCGGCATCTTTGTGGTCGATGCTTGAGGCCGTTCTGAATGTGACCAAAGCCGTGCAATGCTATGCAGTGAGCCAAACAGCGTCACCAAGGCTTTTCAACGACTGTTGACGAAAACAGATTGAAATCTGGCCTGTCAATCCGTCGAACTGCAGTCAGAGCTGGAAGTCAACAGATGAAATCAGAGCAACGCCTGACATATTTTCTGCAGGCAGTCGATGAAGCTCAAGTCCGGTGTCCATCACTGGAGCAGATTCGCCAATCAGAGCCGCCCTGAAAGAATCCTGCATCGACTCCCCCATCCCTATCATTGACTTCTCAATCCTTTCTGCCTGCTTATGGTTGCTTCAGAACTGATTTAAGGCGCTTTCTGCTCTCGGAACTTGCGACTATTAACAGTTGTCACGCCCACACTCATCTGCTCTCACGGTACTGCATACGCATGTGCCGCGAGATCTTTCGGCATCGCTGGCACCTAGGACGGCGCAAGGCTGTTACATGCGCCGAAGCCCGCATATCTGAGCATACGACAGCCTGTGACATGCACTCCTTTCCTGAATGCTCCCTTCCCGCCTCATTCAGAATCTCTTCGTAGCCTGCCCGACTTCTGCCCAAGAAGGCATACCTTCGAAGGAGTCGGGTTTGCGTGCGCTTGCGCTGCATTGGGTCGATAATTCAGCAACATTGAAAGGGTCGAGCCTGGCGCTTGCCAGCGCAACAGCCAAGATGTCAAAGATCAAGTTCGATCCAGCGAAGACCTGGAGAAACTCCGAGGATCTGCTACGCCTCTGACCGGCTCGAACAACGGAAGCAGGCATGCCAAGACCGTGGCAAGGAAATTTCTGAAAGCCATGGTGTGCAAGCCATTCACCTCCGCAGGGGAATCTGGCGATCCATTCAAACTCGGTCTTTCACTATGTCGAGCCATGCTGGATACGAGGCGCGCCTCTCCTCTAGGATCTTGGGACCACTTGAGGAAGATGGGATGCGGCCTCGACTGCCAGTCCATGCTGGTCGTCCATGCACGCTTTCAAAAAAGGGTGATGGTGGTCGTGCTTTGCAGGTCCACTACTCTTGGATCTCTGGCAAACACTGCAGCGTTTTCCGACGAACCGAAGGGCGCCTCTTTGGTTCCCTGTTACTTGCAGCGGCGCTTATCTAGGAGGTCAAGATCTTGACCACACACCGGGTGCGAACATCTGTCCGATGCTCTGCATCTCTCCATCTGTCAGCACAAGGCTCATCACCTGAAGGCCCATCGCGAAAAGGCAAAGACTGCCGCGAAACAGGATCTTTGCAATGCTGAGCATACAACCTCCAGGTCCTGCTGCATGTGGTCTGAACTCCTGGGGCCACAAACATGAGCCGGCAAACAGATTCCCTGAGCGAACAGCCACGCCACGCTAGCAGGTATGAGTGGAGACTTAGACATGGCGTGCGCTGAAGACTCCGAGGCAACTTGCTGGCCAGCTTCTTGGTTCCTGTCAGCGGCTGATGTCCTGACCTCAGCGCAGGCAGCTGGATATGTACTACGACTAGGAGCTGCAAGTTGCGCCACAAGTTTCGGATGAGACCGGACAAAGCGGAAAATTGAGAAATTCGAGCCCCAATCACTTGCCAATATTCGTGTAGGGAGGCAAATTCAACTACTGGGACACACTTACATTCTTAATCACAAAAAGGGACATGTCCTTTAATCAGCTTCTTGTAATTCGGGACAAGCTCTCATTTCAAGCTTTGTGGCATCCACCACGACTTCAAAACATGCCAAAGACTGCTCGTGGTATCCCAGGTATCGGGACAATCGTAGTTTTGGAAATTGCGCACGATCTTCTGATGTCTGTCAAAAAACCCTCCAGACCAATCAATGACTCAAACCTCGTCGGTATTTCAACCTGTGACGCACCCCAAGCAAATCCAGAATCCACATCGCCATGTGGCTGGATCAGCCATCTGAAGAGAATCTGCGCCGGAGTTGCGTGCAAGCGCTCAGCAGCGGACTGCACAGGTGGCGATGCCTCAAGAATCATCGGGCGGCGTCGGGTCTTTCGACATCCTTCGAAAACAGACTTTTGTCGACAGCTGCAACTTTGGAGACTGCAGCTCTCCTCGCCGTCATCACTCCTATGTCCTACCCAGTACTACCTGCTTCTGGTACATGGCATCCTTCTTTATGGCTCCCGTAGCTTGCAAGTCCAGCCGCTAGGACATGTGGGTTCGCAGTGAGTGTCCAAAAGCTTTGGTATGTGATGCCCATTTCCAAGCAGAATTGGCGAAGCTCCAGGTCGTAGCCAGACTCCACGTAAAATCGATTCTGCAGCACTCTTGGCTTGATCCTGCCCGAAGCCGTGCGTTCAGGTTTTATGCTGATACTGGAAACAGTCTTGTAGAAAGCAGCTGTGAGCAGGCCTCACGGCATCGTAGATCCGACGAAACGTTCGTGCATCATAGCAATTGCCTTAAAACTTCCGACTTCACAAGAAACCAGAACACTGCTAACAGCTCCGGCATCGAACAGAATCAAGCACAAGCAGCATTGCAAGGCCCCACCGCTACGTCTTCCATGGTCTGCCGATATTCCAGTCGGGTTGCTGATGCCTAGCTGACGCACTTTTCCCTCCTCTACCGCCTGAGCTCCGATCCGATGAAGCCGAGTCAGAACAACACCGCGACTGCCCCGGCCCCGGGCGTTCGTGAGGCTCTGGCTCGCTCAAAGACACGCCACACCTCACAAAGAAGCCAAGTCTCCAAATGCTTCCAAGTGCCGATCTTTCTCGCTCCCAGCCTCGAGGTTCTCCTCCAGCGACGGCATGGGCGAGTGCATCACCTCGACAGCTCGGCTCGGACTTGGGCTCGAAAATTCGTATCAGGCCGGGCCACAAGCGAGTCAATGTAGGTGGTGCCCAAGTTCTGCAACGACTTTTGTATGGACTGCTCCACTTGGGCAGCTAGCGGAGCCTCCAAGCTTCTACATCTTCTGAGATCAGAGCACTACATTTCTAATCAAACACGTCCGAATGCGTGCTGCTCAGATTTCATCGCAAGTCACAAGCGTGACCAGAAAGAAAAATCGAACAGCTTGCTTTGTATACGCTGAGAGCCTAAGAGCAAACATCGTTCTTAAGGAGGGCTGCGACATGCCTTGCTGTCGTACGGCACTCGGCTCGGATCCTGCCCGCGCAGCGACGTGAACCTGGAAACGCCATACCACTAGGTGTACAAGCGAGAGATTATTCTGAAAGGTTCGGTCGAGAGACTTGGTCTGGATCCAGAGCGCCTCACGAGGGAGCTGATCCTCCTTGGCGCAAGCACTGCAGCCAATGGCCGGTGGACGCTTGCACAGACTCGGGTCTGAAAGCATTCAGAGGGATGCAACAGTTCCGCGCACCGGTCACCAAGGGCACTCCCAACTTCTGCGACACGAGGGTCCGCGAAGGCGCCGACGACTCAAAGCGAAATGACTTCTCGTGAACTAAACGAGCCACGACTGCGAATGTTTGGGGACACCCGTTTTTTGCGTTCGTTTGCCACCCCCTTGCCCGGCTTCCCCTCATTTTACCTGATTTGTCGGCATCCCCCCCCCCTCCCAGGCCTTCCCCCCCCCCCTCCTCCCCCCTCATTTTACCTGATTTGTTGGTTTGTCACCCCCTTGTACCAGTTCTCAACCGTCTAAGGGTGGGGTTGGACAGGCCACCCTAGCATTAAAAAACCTCGACTGCCCCCTCGCCCTGCCGCTACACAGCCGAGGCGGGCGGCGTAGCGTTAAAATTAACGCTCGAGTGAAGCTGAAGTTGAAGTGGAACCTCACCACTCTTCAAGGCCGCCGCTGCCAGTCATAAGCCTGGCTTTAATTGTCTTGCCTTCATCACTCGACACTCTCGGTGCACAGCTTCATCGGCCCCCCTTTGCCATCATGGGCCCATCCTCAATCCGAGAGTCTGCAGCAAGCTTGGCCAGCGCAGCTCCCACGAGATCCTCTCCTGGGCAACAAAAATCCCACGAAGCACGCTCTTCGGAGACCTGCGTCGCTTGCCTTTGCGTGGTGTGGCCAGGTTGCGATAGTGCTTCGGCTGGCATGCCGTGTCGATGCCACGAAACCCTGCCCTGGCTCTCAGAACAGGAGTCGTGCTCTCAAGACACTCCCCGCTGATGTAGACTCCAGACTGTAAGACACGCTGGGGCTGTCCTGACCGCCTTGACCACAAGGTCAGTCGTCCCGGTCTCTTTCCAAGCAGTTCCATACAAGTACGGCAGCTGCGAAAGGTCGGTATCACCTCCTCGCAAAACCAGCAAGGCAGCAGGGCTCAGAACAAAAGGACGACAGTGATGCAAGAAGAAGGGTTTCCAATTCCAAGGCTTCCCGTTCAGGGTCGTTCACGCTCGTTCAGGGTCTTATGCTGACCGAAGTGGCATCAGCCTACGAAGCCCGAGGTTCTCGGCCGCCAGACTACCTGTAGCTCTCTGCGTGTGCCTGCTTCCGAAGGGCAATCAACAGGCTACTGTACCAGGCTATCAGTGCATTCCAGCTCTGGTGTTCTCGTGAACGACCCGGCAGACAGGCAATCAACCTACGAAGTGTGAGACAGGTCAGGAGTCGCACACTTGTGACTTAGATTTGTATGGAGTTTTTTTCCCACCCGCCCAGCTGACAATGTCGCACCGCAGGGAGCTCGTTCGAAAGCCTAAAACTGTAACGTGGTGTGCGTATGCGAGCCCTGAGTCGAACCAGGAGGTGCATCCACAAGACAAGAAAACAAAACAGGCCCATCAGGCTCCCTTTTGTATGGAGTTGGAGAGAGGGGTGGGGCAATCGAACGGCGCGTGCTCCATGTTCACTGCTGGCGGTGCCCATTCCGCTCGTCATGCTTCCGGGACAGCAACAGATGCTCGAACACTGGACCAGTCGAGTGTATGCATTTGACGACACCATTTTGCCGTCACGCGCTCCTTCGCTGCTGGCCTGTGCCTGTGTGCTCCTGGGTCTCGATGCCATCATGCCGACAGCACCAGCGCCTTCCAGTCAAGATTCACTCTCTCATTCGAAAGGGGCAGATGGCCCATGCGCTGCAAGCCTGCGGCAATCCAAGGCACATGTCCTCGCGATGGACCTGGCCCAGCCTGGTCTTTCGAAGTACCACGCTGTGGCCAAATGGATCATACTTCGTTGCAGCCATGTGTCGGGGCGAGGTGTGGGAAAAAGGGCCGAGGCCCGCGGCATGGAGACCAATGGCAATGCCAGTCGCTCTGTCGCAGTCGCTGCCGCGGTCAAACAGCGCATGGAGTCGGAAACGGCGGCGGCCTTATCGTCCTCTCTGTTCTGCAAAACCTAAGAAGCATGTGATATCATCCTAGTCCTTGCTGGATGCAAACTTTCTTTGTCATGTCGATCCGCTGTGCTGCCCTTGCACCTCTGAGCACGACATCTCGCCAAGTCTTGCATGAGCAACACTTCGCAGTTTTGGCTTCTGGGATCTGCTTTCGGGACGGTCTCCGCTAGTCCTGCGTTCTGACCGTCTGCGAGGCCCGAGCGCCATGATGTCATAGAGCGATGCGGCCTGAATTCCAACTCGCATCCGCACTTTGCAAGTAACAACCAGGTAGCAACTGGTGAGCTTTCTGGCCAGACCTGCTGCACTGCCAGTCTGTAGTACCTGATTGGGCACCAGACTGTCGCAGGCTCAGCCGGCAGCAACATGTATTAGCAAGACAAGAGGCTCAAGGTCGGCTTCATTGACCTCTCGGAGCCCGGTGTGAGCCTCATTTGCAGTGCAGTGTAGCAAATGTAAGTCAAAAGGAAACACAGCCAAAGCGAGCATCCTAGGACAAAAACTACTCGAGATTTGGGTCTGTTGTGTCTGCACTCTCTCTGGGTGCTCTTCGCATGTCTGCAGAGCAGTGCTCTTCTGACAAATCGATGGGCCTGGGTAGAGCCCCACGAGCCACAGCGGAAGTCGGATGCACCGACGGAGCAGCAGTCCTTGCCTGTTCAGGATTCGGAGCCCCAGAAAGCAAAGCCATGCCAGGCCACTGCATCAAAAAAATAGCTGGGAGTGACTACCGATAAAAGCCCGAGAACAGCACAGCAACTCGGAATGCACCAGTACGGCCCACGGCCTATGGCCCAAAAGTCATACGTCTGTCGAAGAGGCGTAGAGACGCCAGGGCCAACGATTGGGGCGACCTCGGTTAGCAGGATCGCAGACCAGCGAGCCCTTTGCTGGGGAATTGCCGCCTGTTCGTCAACTGGGCACCATGCACAATACAGGCTCCCTTTCCTCAGTCGAAATCGGGCTTTCGCTGCAGGACATGCTTTGCCCTTGAGCTGTTGAAGGGCATCGCAGATCGAACTTTTGTGGCCTGGCAGTCCAGTCGATGTGACAAGGTTGCGTCGGATCAGCGGTTGATTACAGCACCTGAACCTGACTACAGAGAAGACCATGCAAGTGAAACGGTACAATCTGCCATCTGCAAAGGCAGCTTCTCGGGAATGTTCTGAAGACTCAGTGTGTCCATCTGCGTCTCCATCTGTGAAGAAGGCAATGGGATCGCTCTGGGAATGCAGTGGAGGTCTGGCTGCCTAAACCTCCTTAGGTGGCTCTGCAGGGGCCGCTTCTTCCGCAGCTTCTGGCTCAGCTTCCACCGCTTCCGTGGCTTCGGCTTCTCCCTCCACCGCTTCGGCTGCTGCCCCGGCCCCCGCCGCCTCTGCTTCCTCGGCTCCCGGAGCCTCTGCATCCTCTTTTCCTTCGCCTTCCTGCTGGGCCTGCTCTTTCTTGTCCCAGTACTCCTGCTTTTTCGAAGCAATCTCGTCGGCTCGCTTCTTCTCGGCCTCCTCACGAATCTTCTTCTCAATCTCTTCACGCTTCTTGCGCTCCTCCTCCTGTTTGGCCTTGCGCGCCTTCTCGGCTTCTGCCTTGGCCTGGTCTTCACGGATAGAGTTCTCATCTTTTGTGAAGTAGATCTGGTACTTCTTGCCAGACTTCTTGCATCGCATGAGCTCGTTCCATGCCTGGTAGCTGGTTTCAATTGGTACCCCATCGATCATGCTGATGCTCCATCCAGGCTTCACTCCGAGAAGCCGTGCTTGGCATGAGACGCGCTCCACCTCGGTGCTGCCCGTCTTCCATGTGAGTCCATGAGAGCCCATCGCGAACTCCATCTTGCAAATGCCTGGCTGCATTTCCACCATTGTGACGACGGGGAAGCCAAGCGGGCCAAGCGATTGTGAACCCTGCTAAGCCGAAATCTGCGATCTGCACATGCATGCCACGTGTTGCTGCATCACAGCTGCCATGTTCAATGCAAAATCAGGTGAGATCAGGTGCAATGACAGAAAAGGAGCGGAATGAAGCACATCCAAGTTACATAAAGTGCCATGTCCTTTCCGGGTCGAACATGCTGCCCTGCTGGAAGGTCAGAACGCCTGCATCCATCACCTGGGACGAACTTGTGTTGGCAGGCACTTCTTCTCGTGGAAGTGCACAGAGTCCGCAACATCTTCGCCAGATACGAGCGATGGATTCCTCAGCACACGGCACGAGACAGCAGCCAAGACAGCGGGCCGAGGTGACAAATCCAAGAGCAGATCACTCCGGTGCCGTTTGGTCCTTTGGCGTCCTGGGCCGAAGGAGTAGGATCCATCTTGCGACCATTAGATATCACTCTGTATGTGGTTGAATTCAGCTTCTGAGCAGCACACGCGCATCTCTTGAAGCGTGTAGTATGGATCCTCGTACTCTCGCAGGTTGGCCAACCTCGGATTCACCCCAAAAGTTCGTCATGCCAAAAGGATGAGGCAATCCCCGTTTTCAAGCCGAAGGAGCCCTGCAAGGATGCCCCAAACAGCGCAGATCGCCGCCTGGCAATCACCAGCACCCGAGATCTTCCCCAGCGGTCCAAGCATTCGCCGGGTCTTCAAGCGGTCTCTGCCTATTATTCTGAGATGACCTTTTGAGTCTCGTTCTGCCCCCACTGACAAGTGTTCACCGCTGCCCGAGAGCAAGGCGAGGATGCTGAAAAACGTGAACCAAGTTGGATCCTGACAACGACGACGTGTCGAAGAATGCGGTATGCTGGTGCGCTTCGTCTCAGACATCTGCGCACCAGTTGGGTCTGTGTCAGACCAAAATGCCTGTCGGCTGAGGGCTCGGCAGGATGATACTTGCGAGCGCAGAAGGCCACCGCCACGAAGACGAGCCAAATCACAAACACCGCAGATATACCTAGCATGCACTGCATGAAGGAAAGCCGGAGCCAGATGCATACAGCCTGGTCTCATCTTCTTACGCAGACACGACAGGCTTCCTCTGCTGTGCACACATGACATCTGTGGTCCGGGCATAGCCAGGCTAAAAGTGGTGTCCTTGGCAGATGGGGTGGATTTGCTCCTCGCCGATCGCGTAGATCTCTGCTTCTTTATCTTCTTTGTTTCGGTCCTTCTGGATAGAGGACCCGCATGCAAGAGCAAGTGACCGACTCCGGTAGCAGCTTCCGGAAGTTCGTTCTTTGGGCAAGGTCCGGTAACGGGAAAGCGACACCCGACCAGAAGCATGCCCAGCTTTATTCCGCATATCCAACGAGAGATCGCCGGGTCAGACCCGTGGCTCTCAGGTCAGTGATGATTTTATGGGTCCAAGTTGGCCTTCTGAAGAAGGGAACCCTGGTTTGCTCTGGCCTGCTTGAAATTGGGGGTCCCAGGTTAGCCACGCCAGCACTGCATGCGTCATTGAGTCATGCTGATTCACAGAGCCTATCGATGAGAGGTCTGAGATTCGTGTTCGAGCTTAAGGCGAAAGCAAGGTGCATACACCGTTCGACGCCGAAAAAGGTCACTCCATTTCAAGAATGCATGTGGCTGTTACCGTGGTCTTGGCTCTAGGACAACTGTCTTGAAAACTGATTTTTTCACCAGCACTTGATGAAATTATGCCTGCAGCAGAAGTTAGAGAAAGATTTTGTCGCAAGACATGGGATGTACTGGGGGGTGATGAGCTTTCTTGCAAGACAGAGACCTCGTTGCAGAAGCGGCCCCTGAAACTGCAGGAAAGTCGACGTGAAACAACCTAGAAACACGCGCTTCTAGCACTTACGAGCCGCTCGTGAACAAGCCGCGGACCCCCCTTGCCGACCTCGCGTCTGTTTTCTCCCGAACAAGGACTGCCTTGTGCAAAAGGGCAAAGCACCATTAAACACCATTGCTTTCTGCTTTTGAGAGAAAGATATAAATATCTATAGATGTGCGTGTATATATATATATACACAGACATGTAGTGTCGGCTTTTCGGACAACATCACAAACCCACCGCCCCGGGCGGAAAGTGCAATACCTTCCACGGCGGCACATTTTGTGCCTACCCCTCAATTCTCTCTTTCTTTACCAGGCTTGCACGGCCCGTTTCTCTCTCTCTCTGTCTCTCTCGGTCTCTCGGTCGTTGCATCAGCCAATCTGCGGAAACCGAGTCCCCGGCTTGTACATCAAGTAGAAGGAACTCAAGCAGAAGCAGTACACGAAGATCTCGGTTGTCAGCAATGCAAGAAAAGCGCCAGCATGTCAATGTACCAGTTACTAGCAGTTACTGCCATATTCCTTCCACTTGCAGAATTGAAAGCAGCGGGCACTCAAGGCGACAGAATGAGGTGATTCGGTTTCCCTGCCAAACCGAAAGTAACACGATCTGTCTGCTTCCAACCGCAGCTCCGGAGCTGCCCAGGGGATAAACACGTTCAAGAACATCGGCAAGATGTTCATCCGCCTCGCTGTGCTGAACTCTGGAAAATGTAGGTACCTGACAGGAGGAAGGCTCCGAGGCGGAAGCATCCGATGGCCGGGGGAGAAGAGCGCCGGCGGCTTCTGAGCGCAGAAGACAAGGGACTCTGACACAGCGCAGCATGACATGGCCAGCATCGGCCTTGAGGAGTGGGGTGACCTCTGCCTCATCGCCTCGCTCTCCATACCTTAGGGACTCCGCACGGGCACAAAGCTATGGTGCAACCTCCAGCATCAGGCACTCAGCCCTGCACATGATTTCTTGGAAGATAGGAAGGCCTGTCGTCAACCGAGAAGACTTCTTTGGCGGTGCGACTGTGCCACGACCACTTGTGCTCATGCTCTGTATGTTGGGAGCATCAACTCTAGCTGCTCTTGCTGACAGCTGCCCTCTTCAGAAGCTGGCAAACTGGAAAGACTCTTGCACCGCAGCAAGCACGGACGGCCTGCCTGCCAGCGCCGGGGCTGGACAAGCAAGGGTTTCACTAGCAGAAATTGTCGGAGCCCGAGGGCTGAAGGCATTGTGCTCCCCAAGACCCAAAACCGCGGGCCGGGGCCGGTCATCGAGGCTCTACCCCACTTGCAGCGAGTTGGGTGAAGCCTTGGCTTAAGCACTCCTCTAATGCATACTTAAAACTTAAAAGTTACAGATCAAAATGCGGCCGCTGAATCCCGAGAATCTGCATTCCGAACTCCCACATTACTCCCGCACAACTGTTTTCCTGTTGCCACAAGAGCAGCCAGTCTTTGTACACGAGAGGCTTTCACTCATGCAACAAGTTGCAGCCATGCACAAAACAGCCGCGTGGACTGCTGCGACTGCTGGTATGGCTACGACCAAAGAGTCCTCTTCAGGTGCACCTCCGACGACGTTATTCTGCTATTGCCTTCCCAGCAGCCGCTAGCCCCACGTAAGAACAGCATAGTCAAGATAACAAATGGGTTCGACCGGCAAGCAGTTTCTGCTCACCCAATCTGCCAAAGCCTCTCAACATCAATCGCTTGTGTGCGCATGTCAACAAAACCTTAAGGCCTCAGCTAGAAGTCGATGATCAAGTTTGCTTTCGGTGATGCTTCTTCCACGACGAGAATCCGAGTAAGGATCTATCGAAGAAACGGTTCACCCACGAAGCCTTTAGACGGTTGTAGTGCAAGTTGTTCCTCGCAATGTTGAGAGACCCTGGGACATGTGCTTCCGTCTCTATGGGTTAGGACGACATCTGTGCGCGACTCCCCCACAAAAAGCAGCCCGCAGCATGAGGCACGAAAGGCAAAGTCCCAGCTGTTGCTATGTGAAGCTGACGAAGCATCAACAATCAAAGTTCTGATCTGGGTAAGCCATGCAAGTGTCAGACTTCGCCAGATACTGCATCTCAAGCGGGATCAAAGGGGTTGTCGTCATAACACTTGCTGTTCCAGCTTGTTTGCGTTGACCTCGGCTCGTTGGCGTGGGTCCTGCAGCCTTGAAGGACGGACATTGACATCTGCAGGTGGCCGTTGATAAGAACTACGATGTGCTTAGTACACCAAAGGCTGCAGTGCTCATGCAAGTAACGCTTGCCGAGGGCTGAGAAGGACAAGAGACAGAGGCCTTCACATTTGATGGGGCTGCCTGGCTGCCCCAATCAGCAACTTCTGTCCCGGCCCTTACCCTGCCGTCGCCGCGGAAACAAGCTCCCCAAGTGCCATGAGCAGGCACCACCCTGTTTTCAATTGCAGAACCAAGCCAAGGACCAGAGAGGCGTGCCGACCGGTGCGGCTGAGTTGAGGGGGTGCTACACGATAGCAGCTAGCCAGGGGCAACTTCACAGAATGCGCTGGGTAAGTCTGAGCTGCATAGCTTGTGCGAGGGGGTCAAGCAGTTTGTGTCCTTCGCTCCTTGGAGAGGCGCACGGCTCTCAAAATGCAGGCTCCCAAGCTCAGTGCTTGCCGGACCTTAGGCTATGTGACCACAGTTCGGACCAGAAAATGCTGGACTGTCCGGACTTCGGACGGACGACTTTCTCGTCCATTCGCCTCTCTTGTTCTGAAGACGGAGCTCTCGTCTGAATTTTTCGCAGCACGCTCACACCAGGTGTCTGGCATCAAGTCACACGTGATGTGTTTTTACTGTCTGCCGACCTTCACCAGCCCAGCCCAGGAGGGTTTTCCAGCCGGAGTGAAGGTCTCATGTTCCAGTCCCTGAATGCAAAAGACAGTGCTCACATGCAGACACAACTACCCTCCCTCTCTCATTTGGCTCTCTGGATCCCTCCCACTCTCTCTCTTGCGTGCACTCGCACACGCTTCTTCTTCCGGGCTTACGGCACGGTCAAGTCTCCCGGCCTTCAAGCCCACCCGATAGTCTTTATCGGCGTCGGAGTGAGTAGTGAATGTCTTGCTCCCTCATCGCTAAAGCTGTTAGGATACTGAAACGTCAGAGGGCGCGCGTACATTCTCGAAGACATTGGATCAAAGGCAGTATTTCCCCCAGTAATTTCTCAGGAAGATAGTAGATAGGATCAATTAACTATAGTGGAGACGAAAGGAAGTTGGATTGCTGGTGGAAACAACTCCCTGTCTTTCGACAATCTACACTCGGACACTCTTTGCTTTGCTAGGGGCTTGGAGCGGGCGCGCTGCCACTCGGACACTCTCTCTCTCTCTCTCTCTCTGTCTCCGTCTCTTTCTCCGTCTTGTGGCTGCACGGACCACTGCATAGTAAGCACCACACGTTGAGTGAGATTTCACTTCGCATTTGGGCGCAGTGCCAATGCTTCCGTCCTCAAAGATATCGTGCCATTGACACCACATTCGATTCAGTGCAGTTACCGGGGCCAGGAGTTGTGTGTTGGCCGCATGCTCTGCCGCGGACCAGCCGTGTTGCCATGCACTTCTCCACATTTTTCTTCAGCGCATTCACTGCCTGAGGCAAGGTACGCAAGGTCGCCAATGGCAAGAACGGCAGCACTTCGGTGCCATGCTCAGCTTCACGCTTGAGTGTCATCATAATTGGAAAACCACACCTGCCAAACTCTTCATCATGTGTTACTTACACATTCTGGTTGAATGCCTCGAGTCGGATGACACCTGCGGCCCTGGGCCCGGAGAGTTTGTCCACCTCGGTGAGCAGGCGATGGTGGCTGCACAACCAGCCAAGGAACGCGGAATCCCTTCACGCGGTTAGTATTGCCCTACGGACAACGTTCTAGCATTGCTAGACTACTACCACTGTGCTTTCCGCATCACGTGGTTTTGATGTGGCTGTGTAATTCTTGATCGCGCTCTTGAGCTCCCGTGGCCACTGCTTGTGTGTCGGAGCTCGAACTGGGCCAGCAGCCAATCGCAGCCCAGTGATCATATTGGCAGGCTCGATCGTAGCCCCGATCATGCCCAGCACAAGGTTGTTCCTCGGGGATTCAACAGAGCAGAAGTTCCACAGGGCAGTGAATGCTCGGCGATGAGTTGCTGGCCAATACTCATCCACCTGCCGAAATTGAAATTCCAGTCTTGTTGAAGGCTTTTGCAGACTAAATCGTAGGGCCCGTGTAATCCGACAAGATTACGGTTGAAGCTGCCTGTCCACCACCGATTTGCGGCTTCAATTGGAACTGGAAATGTCCTCCTGCTGCATTCGTCTTGTCCTTCCAATATTGGGCTTGCTGCAACTACTGCCTGCTGCATGTGGCTTTGACACCCCTGGTGAGAGGAGGCCCACTGAGACTCCCAGAGCTCCCTTGAAATCGTCCTCCCATTCAGGTCGAATGTTTTCTCGAAAAATCATCACCGCATCGATGACATGCAGCCTTGCGTTGACATGATCGGCGTCGCACTTCACAGTCTGCACCACGCGAAGAACGTTCCGTGCAAGCATGGCAAGGCAGCTGCACGGCAGCTACAGGGGGAGGATGGAGGACAACGCGAAAGCTCCTTTGGTGTCAAGAGACCCGTCTGGCTGCTCGCGAACCATCCGCTTCTGCTCCAAGAGCTCCGAGGGCTGTGGCCTCGTTCCAGCAAAGAGGCAGATGCGGAAGTCTCAGCTCCGCGGCCGTAAGCCCCGGGCATGTGATTCCACAACTTCCAGAAGGTCTGGACCTGGAAATGCCCACAGCACTGCTCAAGCCCCTGCGAAATGGCCGATAGTCTGCAACGAATGGAATCACAGGGTCACGCACCGTCGCGAAGCTGGCCACCTCATGACTGCTGCTACCGATGCCGAACACATCACGTTTTTTCGTACTTTGCCCCACTTAGAAGATAAAGGCTGCTGCCGACTGCTCCGGACAACACACGCTGGCCTTGTGGGTGGCATCTGAGTACGCAGAGGTCTTGTCAGTGGACTGCATGATCCTTTCATGCAGCGATTCCACCACAAGACAAGGCACAAGCATGCGTTGCTTGATCTGCCATCACCATCTAACACGGATATGCTGCCAAGACTCTGCTCCCAGATTGACCAAGTGTACCGCAATGGCAAATCCTCGAGTCGACGAGATGTCAACTGCACCAGAGCATGCGAAACACCCACGCAAATCGACCCTTGAATTGCCTTCTTGAGCATGTCGTCATTCTCATCAGTCCCATCTGTGGTGAACTTCAGATTTGTGTTGAAGCCTTGCCGAGTCATGGTCACGGTCTGTCATGATACGAGTGGTTCCTGAACGCTAGCTGTCCTCACTGTCTGCTTAGGCAGAAGAACATGATTTGATACAACGCTTGACGCTACGGAATGAATCATATGCAAACATGCCAATCGCCGCCTGCAGCTGCAAGATTCAACTGAGGCCACCCGGCTCACTTCAATGCTGGGGCCAACGCTTTCGTTGAAGCTCAAATATGCCATACCTGCCCAGGCGAGCACAGCGACCACATAGCAACAAGGCCCTGACTTCTGACTTCTGCAGGCGCTCACTGATGTCTTGGCTTGTTTTCCGAAGGCTCGGGACAATCCTTTCCACGTGAGCGCTAGCAAGTGCGGCACAATCAGTTCTGTGAGGTCTGCATGCACTGCGAGCCGAGCTGTTGCAGTTGGGGATGCAGGCATGTCTCCGCAACGAACTTCGGGGAGGAGCCGTGCCCAGCTTGGTGCCGTATATATCGCTGCACGACCATCAGCTTCCAAACCCATCTTCCAGCTCGAGCACATCTCGGGTGGATTTCCAGAAAGGCAGGCCTGGCAACCTCCAGACGGCGCCGGTAATATCAGCGTCCAGTCTCCGAGGCCCCTTTGTGAGACATCGCCGATAGTTCATGAGCCAAGATTCCTTTCAACACAACAGGCATCTTCACTTGACTCAGGCTCACGAGCGGCATGTGTCCAACGGACATGGAGCTGGCGAAACGCTGACGGACCAGCCGGAATGCACCTCTCGGTGCACGGTGCAAGACAGGAAGCCCCAGGCGACCGGCGTCGCGAAGGGCTCTGTATCCTTCGCTTTCTGATCTCAGAGCTGCATCCCAATCCAGCACATCCCCCTGCGAGACTTCTTGGCCCGCGTCTTCTTCAATACAAAGCTGCAGCGAAGGCTGCGAGAACGCATCCTCCTGGAGCTGCAGGAGCACGGCTGCACGCACCTTTTCTGCCATGGCCGTCTTTGCTAGTGAGCGCACGAAGACGAAGTCCTGAGCACGAGCACTTTCATCACTGCACCGGCAGAGTCTAAATGCCTGCCTGAAAACGCGGAAACAGGAAGAGTGACCAGTGTTATTCAGCTGAGGCCGGCGACCGGAAGCTGACCATCTGGCAGGCGGAGGTACTTGTCAGTACGACCCTCCAGCGATACCAGAGGCATCTGACCGAGCTTGCCTGACAGTCTGCCAGGCTGTTTATGCTCTACTTGCGACGAAGATTCGAGGCCTAGCAGCTTTAGCGAATGCTAACCAACTCGGCAAGTTGCCGACCACTCTCACAACATCGCCCATTCTGTAGCGGCAAAGGCCGCCACGGGTTGTCACCAGAATCTCGTACGCACGCCCGACCTCAACCTCCCATGCACGGAGGGTCTCATGTTCATGGGCATTGTTGGATCCGGTTTCTCGCAACTGCAGAAACTCGAATACCATGCTGCCTGCATCCAAGAGGTATTCGGGCACCCCGTCTTGGGAAGGGAAAAGGTTAATTCCCAGCAGCCCTTCCGTTGAGGCATAGAACGGCGAGTAAATTGGAACTCCGCCCAGCAGTCGTCTCAACCTCACCGTCGCTGCTTCGAAGTTGCCTCCTGTGACGGTTATCACCAGCTTCATCCGGGGCCAAAGCAGGGGTACAGAGAAAGCGCGGCCAAGAAGTTGTCGGACTTCCTGTGCTCTGCTGGGATCTGGACCTCCCAAACCCGTGTTCAGCGCAGCCTCGGCTGTCTCCGTCCTGGGATCCTCCGGCCTCTGGTAGCTCCAAATCTTTCCGGCCTCTATGTCAGATGTCAAGCTCCAGCTGTGGTCTTGTATGAAGTCCAGCAAATCACAGATGTTTGTTGCAAAATTTGCTTCCAACGTGCCCAAATTGCGGTCCTTCAGGGCAAACAAAGCATGAGCATACATGGCATCAGCTTCATTCATGATGTCGTAGGCCGCCCGAGGGCTAGAGTATGCGCAGAGCAGGCGGTCAAAGTTTCTACCTCGGCGCAGCACACTGCATGGAGGTGTGAGCGTGAGGGCCGGGCGGCCGTGCGGGTCGCAGGATTCCTTTCGGCTTCTCTGATTCTCGCCGGGGTGCTGTCGGGTGCCCGCTTGCAGCCAACAGCCAAGCCAGACTCCAAGTGGTGGATGCTTGCTCTGAATGCCAGCTTCAGACTGCGCTGAAGGCTCGTAGACCTGAAGAGCAGAATCGATCAACCGAGACAATCAAAATCACTCAAATACTAGTCTCTATGCATCTCTGTTCGCCAGGAGTTCAGACTCCAGAAAGTCCCGCCACTGTAACTGATGACAGGGCGAACCCTTGGCGAATTGCCCGAAAACGAGCCGTGCACACTGAACGAAGGCGGTATTCTGTCCTGCCTATCTTTGCTTCCCCCTCCCGTCTCCCAGATTCTCCAAGACACATCTCTGGGAAGCTTTGGTAAATGACCGCCAGAGCCACGCTGCCGCCGCGACCTTGGAGAAGCAGCGCAACAAGACTGGCAGCGACAGCGCAAACGTGCGCCTCAAAGCGAACAAAAGACGCCTTGTGTAGCCGAAGACGCGGGCAAAGGTCTGGCCAATATCCGGCAGGTCTGGCAGCAGCTTTGGAGCACCAGCCGTTGCCTCAACCCGATTCTACTAAAATGGTCAGTGACATATTTACGGAGCATCCACCCTATGGCCCTAGATGCCCTCTCGCCTGTATCGATCCAGGAAAACAAATCCTCAATCGGCACAGCAGTAACTACACTAACTACGCTCGCCTAAGGGAGCAACCTCGCCTGCCTCCCCATCTGCTTCTAAATACAATCTGCTCAAGTCGGAACCGCAGCTTCGGAAGTCATGGCCAGCAAACGTGGCCGGCCTGCAGCCAGGACGTTGGCTTCACCGGCCTGAATGCGCGAGATATACGGCTGGTAGTGCGAGAAGTCGGTGATAGGATGCTGACGTCGGAAGGAGTCCCAGCAGCTCACATTCTGCAAACCTTCCGCCCGGCCGTACTCGGTGGACTGGTGCCTGAGCAGCAATTCCTGCAGCAACTGCGTCTGGACTGCCGCACCGTCCGCGGAATCAGAGAGCAGCCGATGCTGCTGGAGAAGTCCACGGCATCTCAACGATGTGAAAAGCACCTTGTTATACTCAAGGGATGGGTAGGGCCTGGGCCTGGGGTCCTCTGGGAAAATGTGCTAGGCGCAGGCTTACTTTAGCAACAAAAAACAGCGATCTGCATCCAAGAAAAGCTGCGTGCTGCTGCACCGCTGTGCACCACGTGTGTCGTTCTGACCACTCTTTCGATCTCACCTGCGCCAATGTAACACCTGCCGCCATTGAAGCCACAGCGGCGGCAGTTCTCAAACCCTCCATGTGAATTGAGCATGGCCAACCAACCCTGACACGCAAGTGAGGCTCGATCCAGATTTCTGCTCGAGTTCACAACAGAACTTCTGCAAGCCCTAGCGGGCCACTGCCTAGCAACCAAGACTAGTGTCAGAGCTCCCTGGTATTTGTCGGAAACGGCTAGCAATCCCTGTTTCTGCGCGAAGCGCAGGACCACAAGCCTCTCTACCATGTCATGGAGCAGCCTCAAGCTGCGAGCCACATTCGTTGCCCAAGAATGGCTTTTGGCTGTGAAAATCCAGCAACGGCCCAACTTTTGGTCGGGCCCTGGAGAATGCCACAGTCTCGCGACTTCAATAAACTGGTTGGCATCCTCACCGCTACTGGCTCATTCCGCCCGGCATCACGCGGCAAATAGAAAGTGTGTTGACTCTGTTCAAGTATTTTGCGTTGCGAGTGGCAAGTACGTCTTAAGACTGGCTCCCCTGCACCCATACACCTTGAAAACTGGCCAGGCAGCACTCGAACGAGTCTACGGTCTCTCAAAGAGCTCAACTCCTGAGCTCCTTAGGGAATGAGCCGGCTTAGGAGATTGCAGATGTTTGTGGTCTGGAAGCACTTTAGCAAGGAATGCCAGTGAGTGGTCAACGGAAACACCTGATTCCCCCGCCGTGATTTGCCGGCAGGACGATTATCCTGCCAGATGGCCTTGGCCATGAGTGAAACATCGCTGTGTGCCTGCGTTGCTGGGAAACTTGGGCGAAGGAAGGCGAACACCCTGGCTTCTTTTCGGCATCGGTACCTGCATAAACCTTACAGAACCGTTCAAGTCAAAGTTCCGGCACAGCACGTGCAGATTGAGCACTGGCACCCTGCTCATCATGGGTCTGGCATGTTGGCCTCAGGATGATGGACTTTGGATACTACAGTCGGCAACAACTGAACTCTACAGCTGACGGGATCATGCCTTTCTGAATTTCCTTCCGACAAATCGATATCTGTAAGCCAAGTGTCGTCATCCACTTTGGCGGCCAAGTCATCATTGATCCTCTTGAGCTCCTGCACAGGCAATGCCGCTAAGCCTTGTTATGGACGGGTCGTGTGCCGCGGCTTCTCGAGTTCAATGGGATACACCGGCGCCTCCATCTCACGCGTCAGCCGATCGACGGTCGAGCGCAGTGATTGACTCTCCTCCCTCATCCTGCCAACTTGAGCCTGGCACGTCTGCCGAGTCTGCCGGCTGCTAGCAGCTGCTAGCATTAGGCATTGCAGTGGCATTTGCACACTGGGCTCGGCCTGCAAGCCGGGCAGATCTCCTTCCCGCGGAAGCATCGCGAGTGCCTGCTCCTCGGTCCTTGCGTCGTCGAGCCAGAACTCATCAGGATTCTGACTATGACCGAGGAAACCTAGCCGAGACGCATTTCTGGTTGCTGCTGTTGCAAGGCGGCAGCTGCCTGGCATGCATTGTTGGGTGCTCGAAAGCTTGCGAGTTGTCATTCACCATAAACCGACACCAATCACATTCAGGACAATGCCACGGATTCGCAGCTTTGACAAGCCTATCAGCAAGCCCAATATCGTCAAGACTCCAACCTCAAGTCACGCTTTGAAGCTCAGCTTGTCGGCTTGCAACTCGACACACTTCTTGCAATCACTGCATCTTGGTGAATGATTTCGTGCCATGTCGTGCCAAAGACAACGAAAACAGACAACTCGTCCAGAACAGCCTACAACAGCTCGAAAAAATCGAACCCCACCCCGCCGAGGCATCTGGGTGAATGATTCCCGGCCACACCCTGTGGCCCAACATGAATCAATCAAATTTGGATTGTCATCTCGCTCTCAACTCTGACAACGCTGGTGACAAACACGAACTACTGCTACGCAAGCAGCCACTGCAGTAAAACAACACCTTAACGGAAAATCCGCTACTTCTGAAGTGTTCAGCGCCGGCCTGTCGTCGATGCGGGCTTCCGGCCTCGACATGCCACAGGCTGTTCTGAGAGCGCTGCATGCTACGGCCCTCCCTTAAGTTGCGCTTGCGCGGCAAGATCAAGGCGCTGCGCCAAACGAAGGTTCGCCTGCTGCAGCTCCTGAAGGCAAGGCAAAGCGACCACGAAGTGACTTTGGACCTCGAGCTGCCGTGGGCTTCTCTGCCCCTAGCAGGAACTGCCCAGTTTCGCCCACCCTACCCGGCCCTACCCCACTTGAACATCTTCGTTTGTGCCAGCTTTGCCTGTTGTGTTCACCCTGTTGTTTCGTGCACAGCCGTCCTGCATCTCGGAAAAGAGCCTGTCCACTGTCAGCAGCAGCTCTCGGCCCTCTCGTCGAATCTCGTCGACTTCTACCTCCGCAAAGGTTCTTCACAGTCTTACCGTCATGCAGTGGCACACAGCGGCTTCAAGCACGCAACATGGTGTTGCAATGCTTCGCAAGCAGTCCGCATGGATGCAATGTCTGCAATGCGCACCCAGCCCCATCTTCAAACTTTCTGGCCTGCAGTCCGGCCATTGCCTGCTCGCTTCCTCCTGATCAGACACCACCGTGGACAAAGGAGGTCATAGCAGTCTTCTGTGCTACTGCCGGTGTCGCAAACGAAACTGGTCCTGCAGCTTCAGAGCGGGCATGGGCCGGGCTCTGACGCTCAACCGCAACCTGAACTGCCTGCCGGACCCCAGACGGATCGAAGACATCGGGAGGTCCAATGCAGATGGCAGCGTCAGTCACGAAGACCTACCGACATGCTGCACATGCCGGCTGCCGGCCATACTGGCCTGCTCCAAGTTGCCCTTCTCAAGGGCAACCTCGAGAATATTTCGAAGCCGTCCACGCAGGCATTCCAGTTCCGACGCTGCCTTTACAGCGAGCAGCGAGCGAGCAGCGGGTGCACCAAATCTGCTTGCAGCATCTAATGGGCGGCCCCAACACCGCGCACCTGCTCCAACCCGGGAGCTTGCTCGGCAACCTGCGAAGGACTTGAAACAGTTCGGGCCACTACAAGCTGCAAGCTCCGTCTTTGGCCGCCTCGTCTGTTGACAGCTCCTCATTCGTTGCTGTGGCCTCGGCGGCGGTGGTCAAATCTGTAAAAGAGACTTCCAAGTCTTCCGCGGAAAACAGGCAAAGCAATACGCTCGGCCGTGATTTTAAGCAGTGATCCGCCTGTTGGTGTCGATGAAAGCATGTAATTGACATATTCAGAAGACGCGACTCTGAGCTGGAGTTCCACTCAAAAGCGCCTAGGGGATCCAGCTGGCAGGCTGCAAATGAACAGTGAAGCCCCTATGCGAAGTTTTCGTGTCACCTCACGCCAATGCGCGTAGGGCTGCCGTGGACAAGCCGGTACTCACTTCCAACTCTATGGCGCTTCACATCCACTCACAAGGACCTGTCGTTGCAGGATACTGGTCTGCACTACTAAGTCAGCCGTGAATTGTGCCGTGAGGTCCGTCGATTTCGCACGCCTGCACTGGTTTGGCTCTGGGCGAAACATCGCAAAGTACACCATATGTGTAAAGGAACTCTAGCAATCTCCGTCTGGAAGCCCAGCGCCTCTCAAAGTGCAGACGTCTTATGTGCACGTTCAACGGCAAACTCTGAAATGCAGTTTGAGTTAGCAGGCAGCGCTTCGCCTCGAGGAAACTACAAAGAAATGACAATGCAATCCACATTCGTGTCCATTCCCATGTGGCCCTACATGTTCATTGCACAGGCCTAGCGCTGCTATTGTGCAGCATCTCATCGTAGGATGGATTCGGCATTTGAGCGAAAGGCTGCGCACATGGGCTGATTTCAGACCTGTGTGTTCGTCGATTCACTGAGCTTCCACTGTCTGGCTTTGGCGAAAAGCCCTTCGTGGGTCTGAAAACAGGCCACGCAGCCTCTCGTAATCGTTTGTCTAGCATTTTCCCTGTAGCATGCGGTAGGGTAGATTTCAAGACGGCACAGCTTCCATCCTACAGAGCGCTGGCGCCCCAACTCTGCACGTTCTCCGAGAAAGCAGTAAACAAACAACCTTCAAGTCCATACCAAGGCAATGTGAGTCAGAGTCGGGGCATGCATAAGCACAGGAACAAGGGCAGCACGCTCAGAAGTGCTGAACAGTGCATAGCAAGCTTACATGACCTCCACGCATCAGATGAAGTTGTTCTTCAAGTTCGGTGTCTTAGTACTCTTGGCTTTGGTTGGTGTCATGACCGTTGGGCTCTTGAGCTCTGCCTCACCCGTTGGCTCTTGAAAGTCGTACGGTCGGGTCAACTCGAGTCGTGTCATGCCCTTCCAGGACTGAGTCTCATCAGCTCCCCATAGGGTTATGACCACGTCTTTGCCACTTGGGTCGATCTTGTACTTGCAACGATCCATGGCAAGGCAACCCGGAAGAGAGTTCGAGTGGGCTGTCCATGCATAGCCGTTGAAGTCGAGAGCTCGGATTGTGAAGCTCATGGGCAAGAAGTTCACCTGGACATCACGGAAGGCTGTTCCCAAGGGGCTGAAGTGCTGCGGTGTAATGCGAAGACGCACACGTCCCACATCCTTCGGCGAGGTCTTCTTGCCATCATCACTGGCCACACTGCTTGCGACACTGCGGGACTTTGCGGCAACCTTCTTCACGCTGATCATGTCTGTGTCCTTCATCCCCATGAAGCTTAGCTTGGTCTTGTCGGTCTGCTCTTCAGCAAGGCCGGGACTCTCATAGCGCTTCTCATGGAGCTTTTCTTGCTTGCCGTAGAGGCAGCAGCTGGCTCGTGTCACAAGCCCTGGGCTAACCGGAGAGCATGGAATCGAGTTTCGTGAACCCCTTTTCGTCTTGATACTGCGTTTCCACTGCTTCGACTCCGACGTTGAGCCATCACTCTGTCTGTCACTTTGCACACTTTGCATTTCAATGTCTGCTGTTCCGGCTGTCCCTGCATCTGCGGATACAGGCGACATAATCTCAATTGATTGACTGCCATGTCCAACCTGCTCATCTGGCTGTGGATTCTTGCGGTCTATGCTCGTCAGCAGCTGCAAGAACTCATGATGTGACTGCTCCAGCACTGCCTTCGCAGTGCTGTAGATGTGATTGGCAACCTCTCGTGCCTGAGTGAAATCTTGACTCGATGGTTTGGCACCTGGCTTGGCGTGCTGGTCTTCCATCTGCCCTGAGCTCTGAGTTTGAAAGGATTCGTCCAGGGTCGCTTCCTCCTGATTCGACTGACTCTTTGCCGGGAGCAGCGAGCCGTGCCCAAAGTCAGAAGTGTCCGCTTTCGATTCAACTTCGCCTGCACAAAGGCAACAACCAACAAGAGTCGATGGCATGAGCATGATCTCAACTGAGCTAATTCTCTGCGAACAAGTTTGGCACGAGAGAGACTGCGGCGATAGACACCTCCCCACGTCTGCCGAGCACAAGTTTATGAATGAATGCCGAAGCTGAGGGCGGCGGGCTGAGGGGGCGCATTAAAGTTTTGAAACATCCGTCTTTGATGCTAGGCTACCTTCCCAGGCGCCCAAGGGTGATGGCAATGTTTTTGCCCCGACGTCTGGTTGGGCCACCACACTGTTGTGAACCCCATGTTTGGGAAACATGGTCCCATAGTGCTTACACGAGTGGTGGCGGCTTGCCTCGTACATTGCGTTGCCACCCAGCCATCGATGAGCAAAACTTGCTATGCAATGGAATCTCCCGAACCGTGCAAAATCTGGTCGTGCGAAAATGATGTGGGATGAAATCGCTTCTCGTCACTGGGCCGAAAAAGCTCTATGGCGATGCGATCTCCCCACCTTAATGCATTCTGCCGGTTGTGAGAGGCACATACCTGTACCTGTTGTTCCATAGCATACATGACCGCTTGTTTGTACAGTTGCTAGCCGCGTAGTTGATTTCCTGAGCCCTAAAAGAGCGGCCTTCGTGCACTCAGGTTTGACTTGACTTGGTGATGACAATGACGGTGATGATGATGCTGGTGGTGGCGGTCATGGAAGCGGTTGTGATAATGATGGTTATGATGATACTGACTATGATGATGATGATGATCATGATCATAATGTGGCCTTCATGCCTGCATTACTCCGGACACCGTGACAAAGATCAGAAGCCGATCGGGAACGAAACTGTTTTGCCCAAGCTGAGCTTGGAGGGCCTGCGTCTTTGAACCATTCGGACATCTCCTCCAGCGCTTGGTCGAACTTTGGCGAGCATTGCCATGCCATTGGATTCACCTGCCAGAGATTGCTCCTGAATAACATCAACGTTCCTCTAAAGGTGCTACAAGTACAAAACGGTCGGGCTTTGGCATTTTAGGCAGATGTGCTTCAACAAGCGGCCTCGATAATCCCAGCTTCGACGCTGCGGAATCTGGTGGCGACGGTCTAGCACCGGCTGGGTGCTGGAGCCATTCCCACTGCGGAAGAACGGTCGAATCAAGGCCACCCGGGCGTACTACTGACCTAGGTTTCCTTTTTGCATCTTTTTGCTCCCTTGCTGCCAAGCCGCCTCGGGCGCCACCTCGGGAGCTTTCCCGGCGGCTGCCTCACATCAGTTTACGCATCTGCGACAAGCTCTTGCACCTTCCGGCGCTTCCAGATGCCTCTGCCGGGAGTGGCTCGGCAGGGCTGCCATCGTCCTTTCGGCGATGACACAGTGCGATGCCGACAAAATGCCGACACCCACGCCCTGTAGATGCCACAGAAGCTTGCACCAAGTCCACACAGCGAGCATGCGCCAAAGCGGATCCTTCTGAAGAGCCTTGAGTGTCTCTTCCAAGCGGCCGCACAAAGCTGCCTCCATATGAATGAGTAAGTCGTCAGGCCGAACCCGTCGAACTCGCACAGTCTCCTGCCTCTGCCAACACTCCCCGCAGCTTCACAGCCGTGGCTTCCACATCTGCACTTCGTTGCTCGGGACCTGAGAAACCGTGCCGTATCGTGCCGTGCTGCGGTGAGCCGCCACGCGTGACTCCGCGTGACTGCTCTCGCCGAGGCCGCGCTTGGGCGGAGATTGGCCGAGGCCGCCGAGGCCGAGGCCTTCGAGGCTGCGCGCCGAGGCCAAAGCTTCCGCCAGCTGCCCGCACCTTTCAACGACTCAGTCACTCGCTGCTGCCCTGGGCCCTCTCCCTTCGCGCATCCTCGCGGCCTCTGCCACTGCTTGATAATGCTTAAATTTATCTCCAAGGCACTCTGCCGCATGTTGCAGAGCCTGCAGAGACGCTTTGCAGCCAGGGGTGGGGCTGGCCTAGCATCGAACCCCGTCCTGCGTGCACCTACGTCTTAGACTAGGCAGTCGCAGACAGCACATGACGAACCAACCTGACCTCGCGCAAGTGGGCTTTCATGATCTCCATCTCATGCGGTGGTTCCCCCTGTGGCGGAGCGGGGACCTGCAGACGGGAGACCAGGACAGGGTCTGAATGTGTCCGACGTGACATTGATCCTGCCTTGCCGGGGTGCTTCAAGATCCCCACTTTAGCCGCCAGCATGCCAGAGTCTAAGGCTTCCTTCAAGAGCCTTCTGAACTTCGCCTCGCTATCCCACTACGGGAAAATGAAGTCAGCATCTGCAATCATCTGCTCAGACCCCTGGACGCCCTGGCCTTGATGACCGCGATCTGGTCCGATGCCGCCGCATTGGAAGGTTGTGATTCGCCGCAACTCCGAAGAGCATCCAAAGCTGCGGCCAATTTTCCAGAGTCGACGGCCTGCAGTCTGCGTAGGTCCAGCACTGACAAGCATTCCTGCTTTCGGGAGGTAATCAAAACTTATGAGATGCTGCCATGTGGCATCTTCCACGACCGTGCAAAGGTTGCTGCGGACTGCCTCCAAATCATCTTTGGGTGCGTTTTTCATCGTCTCCGCCTGCTCCTCTCGCAGCAATTGCAGGGCTTCTTCCAGCTTCCCAGTATCCGAAGCCTCCTCCAGGACCCCTCGCAGTTTTTCGCCCAAGGCTTCGAGGTCGCTCTGGCCCGGCCCCTGGCCCGGCCCTTGGCCCTCGGCCACGGTTTGTTGGAGAAGCTTCTCCAACTCTTTTGCCAAGGTCCCGGTCTCGGCGGCCTTCATCATGACCTCCTTCATCCTGCCCTTGATGGCGCTGAGCTCTTCGAGGGCGATTGAGTCGGCTGTAAACAAAAGTCCTTCTCGCTCAGCCTTCTCATTCATCGTCTCGCGAAGCTTGTCTTTTGTCTCTTTCACATCTCCCT